CTTTCCCTTTGAGCAAGGGCCAGACCAAGTTCGTTGTGGTTGCTGTGGATTACTTCACAAAGTGGGCCGAGACCGAGACGCTCTCCCACATAACGGAATCCAGAGTCACGTCTTTCGTATGAACAAATATCATATGTCGCTTTGGTATACCGCAGGCCATTGTGACAGACAATGGGAAGCAGTTTAATAACGCCAAGTTCAAAGACTTTTGCAGCAAGCTTGGAATAAGTCACCTTAGCTCGTCCCCCGCACATCCGCAAGCAAATGGGCAGGTGGAGGCAGTGAACAAGATCATCAAGCGAGGCATCAAACTTAGACTGGACTCCAAGAAAGGCAGGTGGGCCGAGGAGCTACCAGAGGTTCTATGGTCGTACCGGACCACCCAAAGAGAATCGACGGGTGAGACCCCGTTCTCCCTAGCCTTCGGCTCCGAAGCTGTAGTCCCGGTTGAGATCGGCATGCCATCTGACAGAGTAGAGCATTACGAGCCTACGGCAAATGAGGAAGAGCTGCTCCTCAACCTCGACTTGTTGGAAGAAAGAAGAGCAATGGCCCAGCTACGCCTGGCGGAATATCAGGGCAGAATGGCCAGACATTACAACGCCCGCGTTCGACCTCKGACCTTCCAGGTCGGACATCTGGTCTTAAGGAGGGTCCAAACCCATGTGGGTGCCCTTGACCCGACCTGGGAGGGCCCGTTTGAGGTCAAGGGCATAGTCCGACCTGGGACGTACATATTGGCCGATCTGAAAGGAGAYGTCCTCGTGCACCCGTGGAACGCGGAGCACCTGAAGCGTTATTATCCTTGAAATGCCAAAAGGGTTTTCAATGGATCTGTAAAAACTGTTTCAAAAGAATTATGATCGGAATAAATGTGATGATTTAATTTCATGATTCCGAGTTCGACCAGAAATTAAATGGGGGCCACGGACTCCCACACGATCACATTCCARCAGTCGRTTWAARTYCAATCCTCCAAAACCTAAGGGTACGAGGTGCGATGCCAAAACCRCTGATGAACTTAAAATTCAAACCTTCAAGGTAAAGGGACGATGTGAAAAGTTCAAAATGATCAAGCCTCTGAACCTGAGGGTACGATGTACGATATGAAGAACAGCTACGGACTTAGGAYTTTAGCCTTTTAACGTTTTTAAGTTAAGGGTGCGATGTTAAAAAATCCAGAGTTGGTGCAATGCATTGAACACTAGACAGAGATTCAAATTCAAACTTGCAATTATTWTMATTRAAGGCRCGACCTCAAAGGTAAGAGGTGCGAGGTGACATTGGCTGCAGTTCAAAGAAAAAGCAAAGAAAGGAAAGATGTTGCCAACACCAAAGTAAAAACGAACAAAGCTTCTTCATTAAATGGAGAGCAGAGYCAAGGCTTAYAGACCTTGCAGCTCTGCCCTGACACTTACAAACAAAAAAAAGGAGAAGAGAAGAAAGACAGAGAAAGGCCTCATGAAGGATGATCGCCTAAGAGCCTGCCTGAGGAGCGCCCTCTTGAGTGGTGCCGACTTGGTCCTCTTCGAGATCGGAGCAGTCAGAGTCCAGATCTCTGACATACTTATCCACCAACGCTTTGGGGCCAGGGGTGCCGCCAGGCCYAGACGCCCACTGCTCGGCATACYTCTTTTTCAGACCACTGAGATCGATCTGAAGGTCAGACATGTCGGAAGCAATGCCCTTCATGAGGAACTTGAAGCCCGCGTCAGAGAAGTCTTTGGCAAATCCATCGAAGTCAGGATGTTGCCTAAACGA